TTGTGATCTAATTTCAAGACAGCATGACTCGGATTCGGCTGTTACTGCTGTGGTGTCAATGATCCCCCAGGTGAAGAATACAGTCCATTAATCTCTGAGAGTTTTCCTTCTGGGTTCTCTCTTCAGGGTCTTTGGAGTTAAAACTCTGCCCTTGAGCAAAAGCAACTGCATCCATCCTATTCCCCAAATGGATATCAACACGAGAGGCAATTTTCATCCGTGGTTCCCTGTGGCACTAATAAGGGCTGCAGAAAGATTGAAAAGTGAAGATCCTATTGTTTTCAGAGGTGAGCTGAGCCACCGTCCATATAGATTTTATGTAAACTCTCAAAGAAAGCTTGCTGAATCATAAGTCATTGCTTTCTCCATCAAGTTCCAGTTTTTCTCTATCAAGTTCCAGTTTTTCTCTAGATCATTTTGTAACAACTGGCAAACACTAGATTAAGCAGGGAGGCATCTGTCAACTCGGGGTATGCATGTGGCACGGTTCCTGTTGGCTGTTGTTTTGTTCATAATAATGAATATCCACATGGCCTCTGCCAGCTTCATCTCTGTGATCTCAGCGAATGTGTCCATCCCAGAGATCCAGGCAAGGCGGCTGCTTCATGTGGCTTCTGAATCATACCCTGGGCTACTGACACAGCCATCCAACCATGGATGAAAATCGCCTCTCATGTTGATCTCGTGTTCATTCTTAGAAGCAGCCAATACATAAAGCAACCATCCTCAAACTTTTAAAGTTAATCTCATGACCAAAGTAGAAAATTTTCCCCCTACTAGCCCTCCTCTTCCAATCGAAGTTACATACAGAGGGCTTTGCCTAAAGAAGGAAGTTATTTGCTCTACAGAGAGTTATCGGTAAAATTCTTATAAGGGTCTTTCAAGTTGTTTTATTCCAGTGAATTTTTTTTTTTTTTTTTGAGACAGGGTCTCACTCTGACACACAGGCTGGAGTACTGTGGTGTGATCATAGCTCACTGCAACCTCCGCCTCCCAGGCTAAGGGATCCTCCCACCTCAGGCTCCAGAGTAGGCAGGACAATAGTTGCATGCCACCACATGCAGCTAAGTTTTGTATGTTTTGTATAGACAGTGTTTCACTATGCTGCCCAGGCTGGTCTCGATCTTCTGAGCTCAAGTGATCTAACCACCTCGACCTCTCAAAGTGCTGAGGTTACCAGGCATGAGCCACTGCATCTGGCTCCAGTGAATTTTTAAAGTATAATCAGCCCTGGTCTCCTCATTCAATCAATCATCAAGTCCTGGCGACTCAACTTTTCCTTTTCTTTCTGGTTGGCCAGCCCTTCTATCTGTGGAACACGTGATGACTGCTCCTCCAGGACTTGTTCTCTAAAGGGAGTGACCTGTATTCTGACAGTATTTGTGGAAATGCCCCCATACAGGAGACCTGCAGTTTTGGTCAAGTTTTTTTTAACCTACCCTTCGGTTTGCCATGTGGCCCTGAGCAGGTAATACATTAAGGTATTACACGAGATGCTCTCTGTATCAGTTTGCCCTTATTTCATCATAATCTCTACCACCAAACTCATGACTAATGCAACAGTTAATTATTTAGCACACGCCTGAGGGGTGGCTGAAGTTGACTGACCTAAGTGAGACCAGGCTAGGGGACTCTGTGGACTTCCTCGTGTATCCGCAGGTGGGCTGGGAGCTTGGGCTGTGCTCAGCTGGGGCAGCTCTGCTCCAGGTTTCCTGTCCTCCTTAAAGGAGGCCCAGCCCAGCCAGTTCTCAGGGTGATGCTGACTCTGCTTCTGTTCAGCTGTTATCTGCTGGTGAAGTCACCATCATCGCCTGCCTGGAAGCCACGCCCAATGCCCCACTCCTCCCAAAATCTGGCCTCTCTGCATCTCCCCGTGTATCCCCTCAAAAGCAGACAATGGCCTTTAAAAAAATACAAACCTTGGCTGGGCATGGTGGCTCACGCCTGTAATCACAGCACTTCAGGAGGCCGAGGCAGGCAGATCACCTGAGGTCAGGAGGTCAAGACCAGCCTGGCCAACAGGGCAAAACCCTGTCTCTATTAAAAAATATAAAAATTAGCTGGGCGGCACAGTGGCATGTACCTGTAGTCCGACCTACTTGGGAGGCTGAGGCAGGATAATTGCTTGAACCCAGGAGGCAGAGGTTGCAGTGAGCCAAGATCACACCACTGCACTCTAGCCTGAGCAACAGAGCAAGACTCTGTCTCAAAAAAAAAAAAAAATATATATATATACACACACACACACACACACACACACACACACACACATCATGGAGGGCCAAGGAGGCTCAGCCTAAGGATGGTGTGTGTGTGCACACACCTTATATAAATGTGTACACACACACACACACACACACACACACATATACCATCCTTAGGCTGAGGCTCCAAGGCCCTCCATGATGTGGAAAGGTTCCTCTTCCTTGCCTGCCGCCATCCCGGACTCCCTTTAGTTCTTTGCACGGCACTACCCTCTCCCCCCATTAAGGGCATGTGCTGTTCCTCTTGCCTAGAGAGCCCATCTCTCCACCTTCACACAGCCAATCCTCATCATTAATTCACAAGCGAAAGCATCCCCTCCCCAGGGAGCCCTTCCCATCAGCTGAGGCAGCACTCATATTTTCCCCTTTGTAACATTCGTAAGACTTGTCATTTTCTTCTTGGATTTCCCTGCTAGCCACAGGCTCTGTGCAGATAGGTCTGTCTTGTTCACTGGTTGCTCCCTGGCACCTGGCCCTAGTTGGCCTTTGTCAATACTGAGTGAACAAATGAATGAGTGAAAGGGGCTTAGAGGAAAGGCCCTGGCTCTGTACATGATCTGTGGATGTTTAGGCTCTTAGTTTTAACACCTGGAGATTTGGGGGTTGGACTAGGTGAGCTGCGTCCCTTTTGCTCCTGGATGGTGGACTGGACGGTGGATTGTATGGCGGGGCTTGAGTTAATGCGTGAGGCTGTAGATGAAGGGAGTTGAAGGTAGCAGTACTTAGTAGCAGGATGGAGTATACCTAAAGCAATCTAGCCAATTCTTTCAGTTCCACAATCCAGATTCCAACAGCCATCAGAACACCACAGTCCTGCGCTTGGTCATGCAAGATTTCCCAGCTATTATGTCATGACAGCCAGCCCAGCCCAGAGCCATCTCTGAATGTCTAAGGGGATAGCCTTGCTCAGCCAATGAGTTTTGCCTGGGAAGTTAACTAATGATAGTATTTCTCACTTGCTAAATGTTGGCACTGCAAAGTGATCTCCAGACCCCAGCCTGGATCCTATCTTCAAAGCAGGCACAAGTTCTATAGAGTTCTATGAGGCTGGCCATGATGGCTGGTGTTCCCCATAGTCCCCTCAGCTGGGGCATAGTCAAGGAGGCGAAATTCTTCCCTAGAGGACACCAGGGATCATCCCCATGGGAATGCCACTTCATTCAAAGCTCTAGCTTGGGTCATCTGAGTTGGGGTCAATCTTAGGTCGTCTGACTTGGGGAGTACCCAGTGCCAGGCTCTGCCTGCCCGATACACACCTGGTGTGGAGGACCAAGGCCTCTGTTTGTGGCATTTCCTGCCACAGAATTTGGATTTATATCTTTCTGCAGATTCCAAATGCATAATTTTATCTGAGTTACAAAAATTAGTTTTGCAAGGCTTTGGGCATGTTCAAACCCATTCATCCGGTTTAATGAACAGAAAAGCAACCTGCTGTTACAGCCTGCAAGCCACATTACGTTTGGGTGGACTACCTCATTGCCTAAAAACTGGGGGAGTGGGAGAAGTCTCCTATGGAGCTGTTATCTTGCTAGCAATTTGATACCTTTAGTACGGAGGTTCATATCTGGACTTTGGTTTCCAAGTAGCTTAAGTATAAATTGGCAGTGGCGTCCGTTAGTACTGAAGGTTGGATGCATTCGCTGCTGAGTGACCACGAACTCCACTGATGCAGGATGGAAAACCTGAGCCAGAGCCCCACGCAGGGCTGGGCTGGGCAGCTCTGCCCTGTGACAGTTGTACTGCAAATAGAATGGCTACACGTTACGTCTATTTGAATGCATCATTGCAGCAAATCTGTGTTCTCTAGAAGACACCAGAAGACATGAGCTCAAACATGAGGGAGAGAAGAACGTGAGCTCAGCCTGCACGTGCTCACTCCCATGACTGTGAGAGTTAAATGAGGGGGTGACAGTGCTGCAGCTATTCTGGGACCTGTGCTATTTATATAAGCCTGTTCCAAACCTGAACACACAGATACGGAATCCACTCAGCACTGCATGCAAAGGAAACAGGAGGCCACTCTGATGGGGTCTGGTCCCTCCTAAACTCCCCAATGACAAGCAAGTTATTTAATACATTCTATGTTTGGAATGAGTGTGTTTTCCAGAATAAAAGCACACCAACAATACCTTTATTGTAATATACTTAAAGGGCAGGGGTCCCCAACTGGCTAAACATTAAAAGACACTGGGAGAGCTTTAGAAATAGAGAAAAATGATCATGTCTCACCCCTCACTTACTGAGTCAGAATCTGCAGAGAGGGAAGTGCTGAGATGTCTTTTGAAAAAGCTCTCCAACTCTCCAGGTGCTTCAGTCCACCAGCCAGATTTGGGCACGAGTGCTGCCCAGCATATCCCAGGCTCCAGGGTGTGGGGGTCACCATGGGCTTGGGTCAGGCTGGGGCTCTCATTCACCAGGTGTGGGGAGGGGCTTGAGCCTGCATTTCTAGTAAGCTCCGGGTGGGGCTGAGGCTGCTGATCCACAGTGCCCCATCTCTGGGTGTGTACCTATACACGCCTCACCTTTGTTGTACTAGGGCCAGGTATGAGTTGCAGGGTGCACCTTGTACCCCTGTGGCCCTGCCCTACTCCACACTGTCCACAGTCTCAAGTGGTATTTGGACTCGCTTTCACCAAGGCAGTTCTCAGCTCAGGGTTGAACCCTCCCTGTGGGCCCCCCACAGCCCTCTTCAGGCCCTGTATCAGTAGGAAATGAAAATGCATTAATCGGGAGGGGTTTATCTGGTGTGAAAGGCTCAGGAAGACAATTCTTTTTATTGTCAAGGACCAAGAAACAAAGTGTAGAAATACTATACACAGTGGTCATGAGCTACAAGATAGGAGAGGGGTGGAGGGGAGACGCGGTAACACACGGCATTATTCGGAAGGAGCTCCAGCTCTTCATTCTAACACTTGAACCAAGGACAGACAGCTGTCCTTTTTCAGTAAGGCTACAGCAGATTGCAAATGTGACTCAGTTTATCAGCTCCCACAGGGCAGGCTGCACAAGAGGCTGTTGTAATCTGGCTTTGGGAGCCCCCATCTCAAACACAGAATGGATGCTGAAGGTGGTCCCTGGCTGCTGCTGGTGGCTGGTCCCGGCTTGCTAGGTCCTGGGCATGTCTCGATTCTCAATAATCAGCTTGTCAGTTGAATACAGTTGGCCAATGTGGACCTGCAGGCAAAGAAAGGACACAGGTCAGGAACTGCGGCCCTCTAGCCCCTAGGAACGGTCAGAAGGAACATTTCTTAACCTTTATGATACCGGTGTTAGCCATCCCTGGACTGATCCCTCTTGTCACTGCACTGTGGGGCGAAGCCAGTCACTAGCACTGCCTTGGCTAGTTCCATGCATCATCCAGCTCCCACTTCCCTCACAGTGAGAAGTTAGAGGGATCCACATGCCCATGTCTTCTCTCTGAAACAGCATGAGGCTGTAGCCTGGGGTTCTGGGGCTGTGATGGGCTGGGTGAGGACTGCCTGCTGGTGGCAGAGCTATCAGATGTGTGCCCAGCACCTCCTCTCCTAAGAGGATTTCCTTCCCTTAAACTGATTATTGCATAGGGAAAGTGTTTTAGAACAATGCAGAGATGGGTACCGTCTTTGCTGGGGTAGAAAAATCATTGCATTCAGGGTAACGCAAACACTATTCCTCGGCCCATCCCGGGTGGCTTGAGGACAGCTGCCTGAGTGCCCGCACCTCCTGCCTTCCCTCTTTCCTGCCCGCTTCTTCTGAAAGTGTTCTTTTTATTAAGTGTCTTAGAGCCCAGTGTTTCCACTGGCCCATCATCTGGGGTTATATATAGCACATCTTTCCTCTGGAACAAAGGGTCTTGCCACAATTTTTCTCTAAAAGCATTTCCTGAGTGATACATTTTTAGGAACTAGTGGAAGTGATGAAGAAAGGGCTGATCATTAGCGACTCTATCTGGATTTCAGAGCAATTGATAACTATCTATGGGTAATTTGGGGTAACTGCTGTTTAAGTAAATGACGGTAAACTCCGAAAGGCCAGAGCTGCCACCCAGAGCAGCCAGGGGTCAATATCCTCATACGGTTTTCCTCTCCCACCTTAGCACTCTATTTAGAAGTGAAGGCCCAGGACAAACAGCGATCACGTCATTACTACAGCACATGTTACAGAGTGGTGCTCTGTCACCAAGGACAGCCCCGCGGTCCATCTGAGGTGTTCGGTTTCCCGTGCCATTTGCTTGGTCTTCAGTCTGCGCTTGCTCAAAGGCATCTTGAAGGTCTGTGGCACGCATAATAACTGCTGAGTGTTATGGTGGTGCAAGAGAAAGTGAAGGAAAAGGCGAGAGCAGCACATCATCTAAGAAGAAAGAAAAGTAGACGGTGGAGATTTAGGGGATGGGGGGGACCTTGCAGGTACTTTTAATTGCAAGTGAAAGCCTGAATTAGAAACAAAAAGACCCAAGGCGGTGTAGAGAATGAGCGCTCCAGCACAACTCCTAACAAGTCACCATGATGAGCTTCGCTACTGTGTCTTCAGTCTTCTCTTCCTCTCATTAATATAGAGAGGATTTTCGATGCAAGTGGATGGGATGGGTCTGGGATGCTGTGTTTCTCGCAACCTGCGGGTAATGCTGATGCTGCTGGTCCACAGGCCACACTTTAGGTGGCAAGGTTGGAAGTCATCTTGAGCCTGTGAGGAGCCGCACGGGGTTTCTCGGGGCTACGGTACAGTCATGATGAAAGCCGCACAGGAACTTGTTTGGGCTTCCCTTCTGGAGAACCTGAAATTGCTGGGTGAGCGAAGACATCTAAATCCTACTACAGGGAAGAGGAGGATTGGCACTGTCCTCCACCCTGAACAGTACATGGTTTTGTTTTCATATATTAACCTCAACAGACACATGAACCCACTATCAGATGACATTCAGAAACGAAAGGCTAGAATGCCAATGAGCCTTAAAAAAAGGGGAAACATTATGTTTTGGATAATTAAAATGGGGCTAATACAAACAATTCTGTATAACAGCTTGGATGATTCAGTTACCTGGGAGCCTGTTCTATATTTAATTGATCTCGGGGGACTCATCAGGAACCCATCCTAGAAGTGTCCGCAATCAGACATTCTAGGAGTACTTGACAGAGTTTACCATCATCTTTCCAAGGCTTTAGTGGCATGTAGGAGTTATGGCATGGCATAAGGAGAAACCCGTTCAAAAATGCAATGGGCTGCCTTGGTAAGCTGTGAGTTCTCTGTCTCCATGAGGAGCAGAAAGAGAGGATGGAGAAGGAAGGTGTCTGCTAGACCAGGGTTGAACCAGACGGATTCCTTCCGACTCTCAGCTTCTGTGATTACAGGCACTGTCCATGGCTCCAGGATCCATCTGGGACGCCTCTAATAAACAGTCGCGTGGTCTCTGAACAACCCAGTGTTGGTCTACATGTTCTACTTCTGGCACTCAGGAAGAAAAGGTGGCATCCTGGAAAGGCCCTGGGATAGGGCGGGGTCAGGACAGGTGGGCTGCAGCCTGGGTGGCTTTGCTACTTGCCACATGAGACTCTCCACTTCCTCCGGTCTCAGTTCCTTGCCTGTATGATGAGGTCTGGAAACTTCTAGGTGATCTTTATAGTCCTTTGCAGCTCCAGCAGTCTTTGGGCCCTCAACAAAATTGACCAGTGTCAACAGAAAGATGTGTGAGGTCTCCAACCAGTGCAGCACCTAGGGCATGAGCGTCCCTAGGGCAGCTGGTGGGAATCTGGCCAGCAGACAGTCATGGCAGACAAAGAGGAGAAACGTGCTGCAGCAGCAGGAGAGGTGACTGGCTTCCTGCCCTCTCCTGAAGGGATGGCTGTCTTGTGTCCACCCATTCACTGCCCGCAGCCTGGTGGCATGCTCATGAAGCCTGCCCTCCTCTGCTGCCACCTGGACCATCTGTGTGATCTACGTATGTGATCCCTATGAGGTCACGTGCTCCAGTTCATGTCTGTCTTCCCTTTTCCAGCCCCCTAACTGAGATCCCCGCAAAGGCAGGGCTGGTAAACACTGCTGTCTGTGCCGCTGGGCCCCGCACAGTCCTGATAGACAACTCTGCTCAGCAGATCTCTGATGAGTGGGCGAGAGGAGGAATCTGAGCCCAATGCACTGAAAGCAAATGGCTCTGTAGTGATGACTGATAGACAGGCAGGGCTTTTTTGCAAGGCACGTACCGCACACAATGTGCACTGATCCTGTAAGGAAAAAGGTGAGATGGATGCTGGGCAGGCCACAGTTATCTCGTGGTTATCTCCAATTACCACACAGAAAACCTGGAGGAGCCCTGGAAGAGCAGCCCCAGCCCTGAATCACTCTGAAGATAAGCAGTGAGCGCCTTCTGTTCCAGGCAACTTGTGTAGGTGAGACTTGCAGACGTGATTCCTGCCTGCAGAAAGCTCTGAGTCCAGGAAGGGAAAACCGGCAAGAATTGAGATAAGTGACCTAGCATCTGGAATGTGCTAGCCCAGAGGAGGGCACACAGGCCTAGAGGGATCTGGAAGACATGACTCAGCCTGAGGGAGTCAGGGAAAACTTTTCAGAGGAGATCGCCTCTGAAGAGGAGGAGCTCAGAGACCCAGAGGCTGGAGCTGGGGCAGGGGTGAGAAGCCCATGACACAACTGGACGTGGAGACGGTCAGAGACAGAAATGGGTTGTGAGTGTGGATACGGAAGGGTGAGGGTGAGGATGGGGGTGGGGAAGGCAGAGAAGAGAGAATAAAAGAGAAGTGGGATAGGGCCAGAAAACAGATGCCATACTCCACTCAGAGGGGAGGGAAAGCTGTTAAAATGTTAAAAATGGAAGACCAACCCATTCAGCAGTGTGGTTAAAAAAGATCACCTTGACTTGGGTCAAGGCAAACAAGAGGTGGAGTATTGTGGCAAGAGGACCTAGTTAAGGGACCAGTAAAAGTGCAGGTGAGAGGTGATTCCGGCTTGGACGCAGGAGTGGCAGAAGGTCTAGAGGGGCAGCCAGAGGAATACGTGGGTGCTGCACTGAAGGGGACCCCACCCTTGCAAGTTTGAGACTAGTGTGTGTGTGAACGCTGCAAGAATCACTGTCCCTCAGTTTTTGGTGAGCAATGAAGGCCCAGAAAAGTCAATCCATATAGAAGCGAAGACATGAACCCCAAATATTCTGACCTCTGTTCAGCGCTTTCTCCAAAATGCCACTCCTGTACTACGTTCCAACCATATCTTCCTTTCTTTTCTCCTTTTCTCTCTTTCTCTATTGTTTTTAGAGGCAGGCTCTCTCACTATGTCGCCCAGGCTGGTCTTAAACACCTGGGCTTAAGTGATCCTCCTGCCTCAGCCTCCTGAGTAGCTGGGATTACAGGCATGTGCCACCATGCCTGATTAATCAATGCTGATTTCTTCATAATGCGAATTACACATAACTATGAGCCTACATCATGAAAATGCGAGATAACTACATGAGATAACTGTGGCCTGCCCGGCATCCATCTCTCCTTTTTCCTTATGGGGCCAGTGTACATCTAGAAGTTTACACTCTCCACACTCCTGTGCAGCTAGAGGTGGCCAATGAGGTGTCAGCTGTCATCACTGCTGGGGCATCTAGGAAAGTCCTTTAAAGTGGGCTGCCTCAGACTGGGGGCATTCCACTGCCTGCCTGCCCCCCACTTTGTCTCTGTTCTGCCTGGAATATCAACTTGATAGCTGGAACACCAGCAGACACCTAGCACTGTGAGGTAAGTTTGATATGGGAGCTACACGCTAAGGCTGGGGGGCAGAAAGGAGGTGCCTGGGTGCTTGATGACCCTGGAGCCACTGTGGCAGCTCCAGATGCCTTATTGCCAGCTTTCTTTTGCATGTGAGAAAAAGAAACCTCCATCTTTTTAAAGCTCCTGTTACTTGGGTTTCTTGCTACATTCAGCTAAACCAATCCTTACTGACTTGAATGTACAATGAGAATTTTAATGTGAGATCATAAGACTAATGAAACAAGGGCTGGTGCAGAGAAGGGGGCAATCTGTCCCTATCATCTGGGGAGGTGCACTTAACAGGTACCTACTGTAGCTGTTTCCAAAGTTTAACAAAACTACGCAGGACATTATAAAGATCCTGCTCTTTTTCTCTCTAAATCAGGGGTGGCCAATCTTTTGGCTTCCCTGGGCCACAGTGGAAGTCTTGTCTTGGGCCACACATAAAATACA